TTTAAAAATAGGAATAAAGAATTATATATGTTTACATGTAAGTCCAGAAATCTAACCATATACAACATTGTTCCAGGACAGTCCCGCAACACTCCTGTTCCTGTCTCCTGCTTTCATTCACCACCCCCTTCCTTTTTAAACAATAATCTATCTGAGAGACAGCACAACAGCAACTGGCGAGTCATGACAAGCAAGACATATTCAGAAAACCAGAAAGACAGACACTCCAAACATGAACCTACTATTGCAAATTGCCATCTTCAGTGCAGTTGCTTAGTTCACAGGTGTCAGTATATGTAGTTAGTCAGGGTGAGAATCCTTCCAATTAACTGCTAGATTCAAAAATCTTATGAAGATTCTCAGGATCATTGCCTTACCCATCTTGTACATATAACTATGGCTTTCTCTTTGTTTTTGCTTTTTAAAGTAAAATAAAGTTAGGAATGGGGCCAGGGAGATGGCTCTGTGGAATAAGTGCTTCCCTGGCAAGTGCAAGGGTCTGAGTTCAATCCCTGGTTCCACCAAAAAAAAACAAAAAACAAAAAACTAAGAACAAATTTTGGGGGCTTGACCCTTAGCTCAGTTCTTTAAGTGGCTGCTTCAACAAAGCAGTCAGGCTCAGGTTGCTGTGGTTTGATCCCCACAACTCCAGCCAGCCAAACCTGCCCTGAAGGCATTCTGGCCCAGTCCAAAAAAAAAAATCCTTCCGTCATTTTCAAAAAAAAAGAGGGGGACAATCTGCTCGGGCCCCCCCTCCTGTTCCTCTCTCAGACAGGAGCTTTCTTTCCCTCAATAAATATATTCTGCTCAAAAAAAAAAAGTTAGGAAGAAATAAAGAAGTTTCATACTTTTTATTTGTAAATCCTTGTGAACTTGAATGACACTTATCTTGCAGAACTTTTCTATTTTTGTTTACCATTGTTTGTAAAATTTCTACAATTCTTATTATCCAGGTTTCTTTTCTTTTCCTAATATATAACCTACCTGAAATAACATTTTTCATAATTATGTTACTATTCATTTTATATTATTTTCACTTAAGAATATCCAATACAGCATTATACATGGTAATAATGAGCACCTTCATCTTAACCTTTGTGCTGTTGTTTTTGTTTAAGGCCCAGCAGGAAAGCCAGGGAGAGGGCGCTCAGGATCACAGCTTTGTTCTGGAACATTCTCTCCTTAGAGCACGTGGTGAAGGGCTTAAAGTTGACAACTGTGAGGAAAGGAACAGTTGCTGTGCTTTCTGGTCATGTTCTCCTGGGCTCAAGTGACCCTCCTGCCTCAACCTCCTGTGTAGCTGGAACTATAGGCTGATTTTTTCTTATTAAGGATTTTTCGGTCTGGTGAGATGGCTCAGTGGCCTAAAGCACCTACTTAGAACAAGCTAAGCTAAGCAAAACACAGGGACCACGGTTCAATCCCCAGCACCACATGCCAGCCTGCCCCGCCCCCTGGTGGGCTGAGCTGGCCACACACACACACACACACACACACACACACAAAATAAATAAAGTAAAAAAAAAAGGATTTTTCTAATGTTTTCCTATCACAAGTAGTGTTCATTTTCTTGTTTTATATTTTATTTACTTATTTTACATATAAGTAATTACTATTCTTGTCTCATTTCAGATATTTTTACTTTGAAGCACTTTGATATTCATAGCTAAGATTACAAAGCATTTAACACTTAATGTAATAACAAGAAGCAGTGTAATGGCCTTCGAGTGGCCCCCCTTGCTTGGTAGGACAGCTGTGCACACACTCCCACATGGAAGGTCCCTACACAAAGCACGCTGGCCCTACTGACATCGCATGGAGGCGCTTAGGATTCCTGTGTCTCTCAGGAAGTACAGACTTCTGGAAGAAAGGATGCAGATGTGATAGTTCTCAGACCCTCTCTGAGCAGCGGCAAGATAGACAAATCTGGGGGCTCATTTTGAGTTGTAGGATTGGCACTCTCACTTCTCAATACCTCAAGCCATTGCACTGCCTTTTCCACCCCAAGATAGCCCTTCCCTACGCATGCGCTAGGTGTGCACAGAGCCTGGCAGGGTTGGGGGAACTGTAACCAACACAGACCAATCAACAGAGTGAATTTTTTTTCACTGTTCAAGGTTTATTTGGTGTTTTACTTGGTATGACAGTTAGTTGAATTGCTTAAAGATAAATCTTTTTACATCATATGGCAGTGTACACTGTTAATACATATGCTGCTGAAATGAAATCCTTAAAACAGTTGGGCACAAGACATACAATATTGCATTTATACACTGAACATTAAGCTGCCACCAACTGGGGAAAGGTCAGGCTAGGTTTGGTTGGTGACAATGTTTGGAAACCATTATTTTCCAGGCCATGTTAATACTACTGCTTTTACACAAAGATCAGATGGAAAGGAGAGCACGCACTACCTCCAACTAAATCCTCTGGTAGCCCAGACAGTGACATGGTGACGCTAGATGACTAAAGCCGCAGCGCCTGTTAGGTCCCCCACAGGGGTCTGCATTCCCTTTCAAACCAGCCCCTTACTCAAGAGGCAGAGTCGCCTTCACAGCATCTGAGATCCCATTACGTCCCAAGACACAAGGAACGCGAAGGAAGCCATCGCCCCTTATTCCATAGAGACCATTTATCATGGTAGAAATTGGATGTGCCCTCCTAAGGTATTTCTTTATACTTTCTTCCAAACCTGCCACAGACAACCCAATGCCCAGGATGTGTAGCCTTTTAGGTCAATCGCTTCCTACGCACTGTCAGCCGCCTCTTTGTGAGGCTCCTTCCAATGCTCCTTGTCCCCCTCAGTGCCTAACTCGGGGTGCAGATTCTTCAGGGAGACACCAGCAGCACTCACCCCACTGCGCACAGGTGCACTGGAGGATCAGGCCACGGCTACTCAGTGGGTGAACTCTCAGCCTTTACCCCATCAGGGAAGGGAACCTGGTTGAATTAAGATTGCAATCACTTCCAATAACACGGTTGTGGGGAAATCCACTTATCCTCCAAGCCTCAAAGGTCAGGAGATCCACTGGGTTCAAAACAACAAGCAACTTGCAGTTTGGGCTGTGCTTTACAACATTAGGAATGATGAACTTGAAGATGCTCACGTTACACTGGATCAAGTTAAAATGATTTTCTCCCTCTTGCTTCAGTGCCCCAGCTGTGATAATAATGAGCTTGGAGTTTGTGGTTCCATCACAGTCTTTGACAGAGACAGTTTCTAGTATTCTAAGGAAAAGGCTGCCATGCTTGAGGTCCATCAACTCGATTTTAAATTAGTCCTGAGGTCAACAAGAGCAAGGACATCTGCCAGATCCTTCATTAAGATACCAATGGTGCCAGCCATGCCAACAGCACCAGCCCTGACACCCATGATCCTATTCTGGGGGCCTTGTTCTTCTATAGGGAGATTCCCAGTGAGCTGGCCCTTAAGACTGGCCTTGGGTTTAGGAACAAAAAGAAGCAGGAGCACATGTTGGGTGGGTATTGGGGCACTAATGTGTGAGGTCCAGACTCAGCAGCAGCGGCTACAGCACAACAGAGTGCTAGAGATGGCTTTTTGGTCAAAGAAAACAGTGATCTTCCAAAACATCATGATGTGTGAACATAATTAAGGTGAAGGTGCTCTCTTACTTCCATCGCTTTCAATGTAATATACACTAAATTGCCAGAACTTTCATATTAACCCTCTGCTTGGTAAGTGATGACTCATAAAAAGTTTTGTGGCCATTGGTTCATTTTTCAGAGTCTGTCCAATCACAGGGCCAGGGGAGACTACCTTGACTTATGATCTCTGATATCTCACACAGGAGCTCCACTTCATGGGTCCTTCATTCCCTGACACCTGCTTCCTCTGCCTCACCAGCGTTCTCCACTCCACGATGGCTCTACAGGTCCCTGAAGCCCCCTGGACAGCAGCTGTGACCACGGCACTGCTGGTGCTGAGCAACACGGTGGCTCAGAGTGGGACCCTTCCAGGTGAGAGAGCAGCCCTGGCTGGAGGCCTGGCTCATGGATACATTGCCTGGGAACACTGCCTGGGGCCTTTCTGTTCAGGGACCAGACTTTGAGAATGGCTGTGGGCTGTCTTGTCACAGCCTGAGCCCTTCCTTACCAGCTAGAGAACCACGCTCACCTCTTCCTTCCCATCCAGCCAGTGTGTCCTCTCCAAGGGACATGGGCACAGTGGGCAGGAGACAGGTGCCAAGGGGGTGATGTGCCGTCGTCTTATGGACCATGACCCAAGAGGTGTGTCGTAACTTTGGGAGACAAGGTTTCCAGATGCAAGACGGCCTTCAGGGCTTGCTCACATCTGCATCCCAGACCGAGGAGACTCAGCTCACCTGCCCCCTCAGTGCTCAGGGACCGCAGTGCTTTACACTCCCAGGACAGAGAAGGAGCCTGCGCCATGGGACAGAGATTGAGAGAATGGGGACCCGGTGGACTGTGATTCTCCTGATTCCATTCTTCCTGAGGGGGAATTTTCTAGCCTTCCCAGAGCGTGAATAGGGCACCATAGTGACAAGGTTTGTACTAAGAATGAGATGAGGGTGTGGGAAGGGACTGAGTGGAGGTGATCAGGCAGCGCAGGAAGGTGTGACTAAAGCAAGGGCCTCTCCCTCACATGCCTCCCTGTGGCCAGAATAGCGCCAGGACTTCTGTCATCCAGGATTTCTCAGGTTGCTTCTGAATTTCCAGTTCAAATTCATACCCAACACCACAGGAGGAGGCTGCACAGTAACTGCCCTAGATTCCAGGAACTTCCTCCTTCCTGCATACATCCTTCTTTTAGACCCTTCCGCACCCCTCCTAGGACACACCTAGTATACACTGTCCTCGTTTCACTCCTCATTTTCCTAGGGCAACTGCCTTTCCAGCTCCTGGCCCAGCTCCTCAAACCCCAGGGCCTCTGTTGCTGCCTCAGGCCCAGCTACTGGGAGGGCAGGGAGCACCGGCCCTTGTGAGTCACAGAGGCACTGAGCCCCAGGGAGCAGCACAGCTCCAGGAGAACTCTGACTTCCACATCCTGAGCTCTGAGTGGAGGCAGCTGGGGCAGGCCTGGAAGTGTTTGGAGGACAGCAGGGGAGGGGAGCAGCACCAGCGTCCCATAGATGGCTTTGTTCTTGGGGTAATGGGCAGCCCGAGTAATCAAGGAAAGTCCTGGGGTGCAGCAGACAGAGTAGAGAGGGAAAGGGATGGTGGGTTAGGAGTGGTGGAGGGGCAAGGAGTGGCTGCACACTTGTAGGAGGACTGGGATGAGGCTGTGCAGGTGTATTAACAGCACCGAAGGTAAGTTCCTACCCCGAGCAAATGTTCAGTAAAACTTCCAGAGCAATGGGGAATGCAGGGAGTGTGGGCAGGGCAAACTGCACTCCGCCTCATATTTTTCCACTCCTTATGGATTTCCAACCTTAACCAAGACAGAAAGGGCAGGAGAGAGCCGGGGGAACATGGCTATACTCCTCTGCTGTGGGGTTGGGGGATAAAGAGGCCGCCCCAATCAGAAACAACGCAGCAAATGGGCTCTAAGAAACCAGAATCATGGGGCGACACGCTTCCGACCAGGGCAGACATAATGTGCGCTTTCTAAGGTGGGGTCTCCCTCACCTCACACCCACGGCCAGGTCTTCAGCCCACGCCCCCCGGCCCTGTCACCTCACAAAGCTTCCTGTAAAGGCTTGGTATGCATTCGTGTCTTTCCTGGGAACCTATTGTACTCTACTGTCATTTTTATCCCCCAAGTAAAATGCTAGGAAAAGCTAGGCACAGTGAAAACCCACCTAGTGTCCTACGTGAAGTGCACTTCAGCCTGCCACGCTTCTACATTCAGTGTGGCCTCGAGCCTCTTTTTTGCTTAGAGCCTCTCTGATTGCTGGGATACCTTTTTCAATGAGGTGACAGAGATTGTTGTATAAAAACATACTTCATAGGACCAGCCAAATAGCTCAGCAGATTAAAGCACCTGCAAGCAGGCACAGGGGCCGGGGGTTTGATCCCTGGGCCTCCAGTGCCAGCCCCGCCCCCAGGCACACTGAGATGGCAATTGCGACTAGGTGTGGTGGTCCTGCCTGTAATCCCAGCACTTGAGATGCTGTAAACAGGCAGATCACTACAAGACCGATCTAGTAGTGAGACCCTGAACACCCTGTAGACCTTTCCCTAAAATACTATATATAAACTATATATATATATATATATATATATATATA